CTATGAAAGATGAGGTGAATCATAGAATTGATGAGGGGAAAAGGGTGAGTGGTGCACTTTGGAGTCTGTGGAGACAAAGACTTTGCCCTTGGAGGCAAAGAGGGGAATGTATGAGAGTATAGTTTTACCAACGCTCTTATATGGGTGTGAAGCATGGGTGATGAATGTTGCAGCGAGGAGAAGACTGGAGGCAGTGGAGATGTCATGTCTGAGGGCAATGTGTGGTGTGAATATAATGCAGAGAATTCGTAGTTTGGAAGTTAGGAGGAGGTGCGGGATTACCAAAACTGTTGTCCAGAGGGCTGAGGAAGGGTTGTTGAGGTGGTTCGGACATGTAGAGAGAATGGAGCGAAACAGAGTGACTTCAAGAGTGTATCAGTCTGTAGTGGAAGGAAGGCGGGGTAGGGGTCAGCCTAGGAAAGGTTGGAGGGAGGGGGTAAAGGAGGTTTTGTGTGCGAGGGGCTTGGACTTCCAGCAGGCATGCTGTGAGCGTGTTTGATAGGAGTGAATGGAGACAAATGGTTTTTAATACTTGACGTGCTGTTGGAGTGTGAGCAAAGTAACATTTATGAAGGGGTTCAGGGAAACCAGCAGGCCGGACTTGAGTCCTGGAGATGGGAAGTACAGTGCCTGCACTCTGAAGGAGGGGTGTTAATGTTGCAGTTTAAAAACTGTAGTGTAAAGCACCCTTCTGGCAAGACAGTGATGGAGTGAATGACGGTGAAAGTTTTTCTTTTTTGGGCCACTCTGCCTTGGTGGGAATCGGCCAGTGTGATGATAAAAAAAAAATAAATGTATGAAAGAGGGGAAGGTACCTAGTGATTGGCGGAGAGCATGTATAGTCCCTTTATATAAAGGGAAGGGGGAAAAGTGTACGGAAGGGTTATTATGTAAAGAATTAGAGGTAAGACAGAATGTAGAATTGCAGATGAGCAAGTAGGTTTTAGACTGGGTGGGGGATATGTAGATCAGGTGTTTACACTGAAGCATATATGTGAACAGTATTTAGATAAAGGCAGGGAAGTTTTTATTGCATTTATGGATTTAGAAAAGGCATATGATAGAGTGGATAGGAGAGCAATGTGGCAGATGTTGCAAGTATATGGAATAGGTGGTAAGTTACTAAATGCTGTAAAGAGTTTTTATGAGGATAGTGAGGCTCAGGTTAGGGTGTGTAGAAGAGAGGGAGACTACTTCCCAGTAAAAGTAGGTCTTAGACAGGGATGTGTAATGTCACCATGATTGTTTAACCCTTTGAGGGTTTTGGTCGTACTAGTACGTCTTACGCGTAGGGGTTTTTGTCGTACTAGTACGCATAAATTCTAGCGGCCTCAAATCTCACAGGAAAAGGCTGATAAGCCTAGATGTGAGAGAATGGGTCTGTGTGGTGGGTGTGCGCAGTAGGAAAAAAATCTGGGACCCAGTGGTGCATTGTGGGAAGCCATCATAGTACACAATTTCCACCGTGCCCTGTGGTAAGAAGTTCCTCACCCTCGGCGAATTGGGACACTTTTGTTCCCAGTGACAGTTCTAATTACAGATGGAAGTGACAGTGAAGATGAGTTTCAAGGTTTCTGGTGAGGTTTTGACCGAAACTAATGACCATAATATGGGTAATAGTGAGGAAAACCCAGACAACCCACAGCCTTCCACCTCTGGTGCTGGGCCGTCGTTCAGTTGTACCAGAATCAAAGAGGAAACTCCTAATTTTCCAAAATCCAAGACTCAGATGTGAGCATTGGTGATGATAGTGATAGTGATTATGAAACTACAAGCCTTCAAACTTGTTCCAAGAATGGAGGAGGAGGAGGAGGCAGAGGAGGAGGAGGCAGAGGAGATAAGATAAGATTTCGTTCGGATTTTTACCCGGAGGGTTAGGAGGAGGCAAGAGGAGGAGGAGGCAAGAGGAGGAAGAAGAAGAGGAGGAGGAGGAAGAAGAAGAGAAGAGGAGGAGGAGGAGGAGGAGGAGGAGGAGGAGGAGGAGGAGGAGGAGGAGGAGGAGGAAGAAGAAGAGGAGGAGGAGGAGGAAGAAGAAGAATACGTAATGATAACAATAATACATAATAATAATAATACATAATAATAATAATACATAATAATAATACATAATAATAATAGGTAATAATAAATGTTCACCCATGACAGTAACAAGATAAGGAGATATAACATCTGATAAGTGCTGATGTTTGATGAGGGTAAATGAGGGTAGAGCTGATGCCAAAAGATGAGATAAACATCTCCCTCCCTTTGTTTTTGCTGGTACACTAACATTTCTGTCTGTCTATTTGTCTATCTGTCAAGCTCCCTGTCTATCTGTCTATCCGTCTAGCTCTCTGTCTCAGAGAGCCACAAGACTGTGTCATCACTTTTACTCACATCTTCAAGCAGAGTATAGCACTTTGTCTGGGTTTCTTGGGTTATCCTAGGTAATTTATACTATGTATACTTGTATTTATGTGTACCTGTGAGACAGAGATAGACAGACAGATAGCAAGAGAGAGACAGATTGAAAGAGATAGAATGAGGGAGAAAGATAAAACACCATTGTGTATGACACCATGTTTCAGAGTTCCACAAGCTGCAGAACTAATAGGAATATGTTCAGTGACTGTATATTGGTATATATATTATAGAACAATAATAGTAAACAATGTTTTGTATTGTTTGTTTTTGTAAACAAGTTCTGTAAACAATATAATGATAATTATGTTTGTGTGCTTATTGTGTTGTATACAACGAGTGTATATATGTACATTGCACCTTACTTTGGTCTCATAGGCCACATAAGTTATGTGAAAAATAAAATAGTGAAAAAAACAACAAACCTTCAAATACAAGTAAACTAAAGTTTACCGGGTGAGCGGCAGTCGCCGCTGTTGCCATACGCGGCTCATTTTCTGCAAACTTCATGCATCCATATCTCCGTAAGTATTGATGGTAAATTTTTTTTGTTTATCCTATAATGTTTAGAAAAAAAAACTATTTTTTCATAAGAAAAAATAATTTTTTTTTTTTTAAATTTGGCCGACCCTGAGAACGAGTTTTGGAGAGGGCCTGTCGACCCTCAAAGGGTTAATATATTTATAGATGGGGTTGTAAAAGAAGTAAATGCTAGGGTGTTCAGGAGGGGGGTTACCTGGAGGTTATTCCGGAGATCAATGCCCCCCGGGGAATTAAATACAAAATGGGAAGTGACACAGTTATTTTTTGCTTTTGATACTGTGCTTATGGGAGATTCTAAAGAAAAATTGCAAAGGTTAGTGGATGAATTTGGGAGTGTGTGTAAAGGTAGAAAGTTGAAAGTGAACATAGAAAAAAGTAAGGTGATGAGGGTATCAAATGATTTAGATAAAGAAAAATTGGGTATCAAATTGGGGAGGAGGGGTATGGAAGAAGTGAATGTTTTCAGATATTTGGGAGTTGATGTGTCAGCAGAGGGATTTATGAAGGATGAGGTTAATCATAGAATTGATGAAGGAAAAAAGGTGAGTGGTGCATTGAGGTATATGTGGAGGTAAAAAAATGTTATCTATGTATGCAAAGAAGGGAATATATGAAAGTATAGTAGTACCAACACTCTTATATGGGTGTGAAGCTTGGGTTGTAAATGCTGCAGCGTTTGGAGGCAGTGGAGATGTCCTGTCTAAGGGCAACGTGTGCAAATATTATGCAGAAAATTCGGAGTGTGGAAATTAGGTGTGGAGTTAATAAAAGTATTAGTCAGAGGGCTGAAGAGGGTTTGTTGAGGTGGTTTGGTCATTCAGAGAGAATGGATCAAGTAGAATAACATGGAGGGCATATAAATCTGTAGGGGAAGGACGGCGGGGTAGGGGTCGTCCTTGAAAAGGTTGGAGGGAGGGGGTAAAGGTGTTGTTGGCAAGGGGTTTGGACTTCCAGCAAGCATGCGTGAGTGTGTTAGATAGGAATGAATGGAGACAAATGGTATTTGGGACCTGACGAGCTGTTGGAGTGTAAGCAGGGTAATATTTAGTGAAGGGATTCAGGGAAACCGGTTATTTTATATAACCGGACTTGAGTACTGGAAATGGGAAGTACAATGCCTGCACTTTAAAGGAGGGGGTTCGGAATATTGGCAATTTTGGAGGGATATATTGTGTATTTTTATAGGTACGTATATACTTCTGAACTGTTGTATTCTGGGCACCTCTGCGAAAACAGTGATTATGTGCGAGTGAGGTGAAAGTGTTGAATGATGATGAAAGGATTTTCTTTTTGGGGATTTTTTCTTTCTTTTTGGGTCACCCTGCCTCAGTGGGAGACAGCCAACTTGTCGAGAGAAAAAAAAAAAATTTTTTTTTTTTACACAGACTAATATGGTTGATTATGTCAAGAATAATTCTATATGATGTGCAGTCAGCCTCTTCCCATGTATAGGTGCCACTATTTTTAGTTGACTATTTGAATGCATAATTTTTTTTTTTTTCAACACATCGGTTGTCTCCCACCGATGAAGGGTGACACACAACCACCGTCTTTGTAGAGGAGCCCAGATACGACAGTTTAGAAGTCACTCCAAACAGTCAGTATCCCTCCCCCCTTCCTTTAAAGTTCAGGCTTTGTACTTCTCACCTCCAGGACAAGTCCAGCTAACCAGTTTCCCTGAATCCCTCCACAAAATATCACCTTACTCACACTCCAACAGCTTATCAGGCCCCAAAAACCATTCACCTGCATTCACACACTAACACACTAAATTTACTTACAGTACTAGCTCTAAGAGGAATCAGTTACATTGTAGTTATATTGATAAGGCTGAAGCACTAAACCCACAGGGGGTCATAGTGCGTTTGGGAAATAGGAGGCATTCAGGTTTGATCTAAGGGAGGGAAGGATTTGTCTAGTTCCTTGGATCATGAGTCCCTCACTGGAATCAAGGTACCTTTCCCCTGATGTGAGAACTAGTTCAAGTATACAGCATTATAGATCCTGATATTGAAAGTGAGATAATGTAACCCCACCCAATTTTAGTGGGTATTTACCTATAAAGGGCAGTGCTCTTCTTCAGGTCAGGAGTAGCAATAGCCACATGATTAAGACTTCCAAGCTTCCATACAGCTGAAGGAAAGCTAGGTTGTGTCCAAGTTACAGTGGTACTGTGGATTTAAGCGATGAATGCCACAACCAATCCTGCTTAAATGAGGAGCTAGTTGTATTAGACAATGTGCTGTTTTTATCATTGTCAGAATCTGAGAAGACCTGCTACCCTAGAGAAGAAATAATAAATTATTTATAAACTTGCTGTTTTGCAATAAAGAACATTTAATAAAAACTGACATGCAATACCAAAGTTCAACTAAATTATTCATAGCATTTTGGCACTAAGATTATCACATAATGGTCTTCACACCTTTTCACGTGTTCCTTTTTCATTATGCCTTCAAAGTTTTGGCAATATCGGGTACTTCAGCCTCTAGGCTTTTATCTCCTTCCTCCTGAAGCCTGCGTCTTTCTTCCAAACGTTGAGGTTTAACCACCATGAAGTAGTTATAGGTACGTTCTCCAAGTATAATCATGCTAAAAATGGTCATACTCACACATGTCACTACAAAGCTCTTGTGCAAAAAATCAGCCACACGGCTTGCCTTCGGTAACTTCTTCATAACCACAAAACAAGACCAATCTGTCAAAGTTATGGTTAGATTAGGGAAATTTTCATTGCATAATATTTACCAATTATAAAAGGCTGCTTTATCAGGAATGCATTTCAGAAGAAAAACCTTTTTATTAAAGATTACTGAAACAATGTAAAAAAAAAAATTGAAAACCTAACATTTCTAGATGATTCTATGTACAGTACAATACTGTATTAAATAACAATTGAGCTACAGGACACCCACAGTATCGTAGATACAGTAGTCTCATGCTGTCATCTAGTTTCGGCACCAAGATATTGTGGTTTACAGTGTCGAGATCAAAAAAGATCTAGATGGAAATAATATCATTTTAAGTACTAGTTTCTGCTAAGTCACACAGATAATTTTCTTTTGATAATTAACACAAAGGCTTAGTAACTCAGGATAAACCAATAAAGGACCCCATTGGGGTCCTTTGTCTCCCCGTGAAGACAATTAACACCAGGGTACCTACTTATTGCTAGGTTAACAGGAACAGGTGTAAGAAACATGCCCAATGCTTTCATTCATCTGGGGACCAAACCTTGGTCCCTCAGTTATAAGCTGAGGCAGTTACCAATTGTGTTATCCTAGGTTAAATCTACAATGTTCTTTCTTGTGTGCCAATAAGTGCCCTCAAGACCACTAAAATCATTTTTTATTTTATTTTATGTTGTATCTTGACACTGCCTGTCCAATATCAAGCTTGTGAGAAATGTAAGTGAGGCGAGACCAGGTGTCTTGTTTCTGTTTGCTTGCAATGATGGGAGTGGTGGCTGCTAAAGTTTCACAACCTGGTTGTGAAAGTCTACCATGGTAGACTTTCTGTGAGGAATTAGTGGCCAAACTCTGTCACTGACAGAACTGGAGACTGTGAGGTCTTGGGACCTTTACCTAGAAGCTGACTGATCTCGAGGAGAAATCTATTCTAAGGACTATTCTGTATGTGTATATCTGATTTCATCAGCTAATTGTATTCCTATCTAAATTACCTTGTATTATCCCCAGTTATCTTAATAGCAGATACTTTCTCTTTAACCGTGTAAACTGTTATACAAGTACTAATAAAATGTAATCAAGTGCATTGATGTATTAACTTCCCCCTTCCTGAATCTTATTAGTCTGTATAGCATTGATTTGAGAGTAAAATGTTAAGTGGGAGTAAGCCCACAGTAGTGTGCAGCAAGTCTGAAATCATAGAACCAGTTAGTTAATCCCAATTAACTTTGAGAACACTAAATTAATTCAAGTATTAATACAGATTTAAAAGTGTACAGGTGTAAATTTTACTAATCATAATTTTTTTTGCAACCCCACTATTATAAACTGTACTAATATAAAATTTTGACCACCCCTCTTTTTGTATTAATAATTAAAATTCACCACTAACTTGTGTCCAGTTTAAAGTACTGTAGTATGTGTGCATTAAAATCAGTCTGCCTGAAATACTCGTGCATTAGTAGCTTCCTTTGTGCATGGCATTATTTTACTACTTGTAAACTACACATTGTATATTATGCAAAGAAATAAATTTCTGAATTTTGAATCTGAAGTGAGGTGGTGTACTTGATTGTCAAGCTCATTACTCATTATGTGTATGTTGAAGGTAAGAAGGGTTTACCTTCCTATCCCTGGTATATCACACTATGATAAATTTGACACATGTGCAACTCTTGGGTATCTTTATTGAGGAAACGTTTTGCCACACAGTGGCTTCATCAGTCCATACATAGGAGAAACTTGACTGATGAAGCCACTGTGTGGCGAAACGTTTCCTCAATAAAGATACCCAAGAATTGCACATGTGTCAAATTTATCAACATGTCGGTTCTCTGAACCATTCATCTACAAATATCACACTATATCCAAAGCCTAAATAAAAACTTACAAAGCCCTTTGTGACTGATTTATTATATTTAGGAAGAAGCTCTAAATCCATAAGGTCACACAGTGCATGGGGAAATGAGAGGCAATCAAGCTTGATCCATGGAAGAAAAGTCCTATTCCTTGGATCAAGAGCCCTTCACCATCATTAAGGTGCCCCTAGAAAAGGCCCTATTTGGCAGGTCTCAGATATATTAAAACCAATAATATCTATTAACTTCAAACTTCAGACATGAAGACTTTATCCAGGGTAGTAATCCAGGAGTGTTAAGTAAGTTCATTTAGGTGCAGGTACACAAGTACAATTATCATACATAGTAACATATGTGTAAATTATCTAGAATAACCCAAAAAAGTCAGACAGCATGACTTATTTCCATTGTTACTACCCCAATCAGTTGGTGGTGGCCTCATCTCACACTGAGACCGGTTTGATTCCCAGGGTGCACTCAAACATTGGTAATGTTTCCTTACACCTATCTCTGTTTACCTAGCAGCAAGATAATATTTGTTCGGATTTTTAACCCGGAGGGTTAGCCACCCAGGGTAACCCAAGAGACTCTCTAATTTCCATTGGGGTCCTTCAATCTTGTCGCCCAAAATGCGACCCACACCAGTCGACTAACAACCAGGTACCTAATTACTGTTAAATGAACAACAGGTGTAAGAAAACATGACGAATGTTTCCACCCGGCCGGGACTGAACCACAGTTAGTGAGGCGAGTGTGTTACCAACCAAGCCACGGGCGCGGTTGGGGGTCGCATCCTAGGGGACAAGATTAAAAGACCATAATGGAAATATGACAATCCTTGACGACGCACTCCGTTCACTGGCTTATCCTGGGTTACTAACACTCTGGATTAACCATCTAACAAAATCTTTTTCAACCCAGGATGAAAAAAAAAAAAAAAGGTTCCTCTTGCCTTGAAAGCTATTTGATCAGCCGTTCAGCGACATCAACCATTAAGTAAAGTCTCTATGAACAAAGCAACAGTAGTAAAGTCACATTCATAATACAAAATATACTTAAGGACGAAGACACATTACATATATTCACTAAGACCACCACCTCCTGCACACGCCACCTCCACCAATCACACAACTCCACACTCAGCCAATCACAACGCCTCATAGAAATAACCTTCACAGGGATTATAAGTATAATTATTGCTATGAATTTTCCATGGTCCCGAGATAATGTAAGAAAAACTTATGTACTGGAGATAATAGTTTTAGACGACATATTTATTTTCTTAAAAAAGTCATACAGTTGATAAGTTATAAATTATTTTTATATATAATTGAAAGAAAATTAAATGACTAAAAATATATTATTTTTACTATACTAATTATAAAGTGAATAAGATAAACCTTTGGTAAAAAAGTTTTAAAAGGTTTATCTTAGTGTTATCCATGAATTGTGAGTGGTGGTGAGTGTGGATCAGCTGTGACAATGTTTGTCAACAAAGCTAAGATGGAAGCCACCAGTAACTGGACCGTCGAGAACGACCTGAAACTACACCAGGTTATTCAAGAAACTTCTAGTTTCCCCACAGGGGACCTGGTAGATCTCCTGGACGAAGACAAATGTTTTAGTTTATCACGACCGGCTACAGAACAAGTGGACTGCTGTATCCGGCTAGTGACAAAACATGAAGCAACATCAGCGCGGCGAATGCAACAAGGTTTAAAATCAAAAACTAAGAAACTTCTTTTGGGCATTACAATGCTGTCAGAAGCACGAGTCATTGAAGTTTATACAGGGTCACATGACGAATATTGCATGACTGTGCAGGGAAAGGTAATGAGAGACTTTGAAGATTCTAAAATATACAAATGTGAAGTGCGTTTTGACAAGCTACAAGAGGCAGTGCTTTTGAAACTGAAAGGTATATTTGATGTTAATTCTTTGTGGGTGTATGGCTTTCATGTGACAATTGGCGTAGAAGCAGCCAGACAACCTGGTAGCCGATTTGGAAGTGATCACTTATCTTCTGTTCTCAAGGAAAAGGATGTGCAAATGTCGAAACAAGCCATGATGTTCTGTCAAATGTTAGAAAATTATAACAGTGTGAATGATTCAAGTAAACCATTTCTTGGGAATAATCCTATGGCTCTCATGTCAATGATGCTTGGCCCCATGATGTCAGAGTCTAGATCAGTCATGTCAGGTATGGAAACAACTGGTAAACATGAAGTTATCAATAAAACGTTAATGAATAGCTGCAGTGATATGGGACATACAGTACAGACTCAAGATATGCCAAAAGGGGACAGTGTTAGAGGCTGTGAACTGAAAACTAGTTTGGATTTATTTGCCAACAGACCATGTTTAGCTACCAATATTCAAGATGAAACTCAGTTCAACTTGCAAAATGGGATAAAAAACTTGGTACTTGACTGTGAAGATGGAAAATTTCAAGAAAACAAAGTGATGTTTGACCAGAGTTCCACAGAAAATGGGGAAAAATCAAAAGACTCCCCTTCATATAGTGACAATTTTGTTGAGAAACTTCATGCTTTAATAAATGATGGTAACAATACTGTGGATCAACAAAAGCTTTGCCCACTCTTGGATATTGCTTTTAAAGCTGGAACTACGTCTAGGATCTGATGGAGTCTGCTAAAGATTATTTTAGTAAATCATCAGGAGTTCCAGATCAAGCAAGAAGTAATCCATTATTGGGCTCACAATCAAAGGTTCCCATCTTAAGTAACAATCAGCATGTGGTTAAATTATCTCCCAATGGGTATTCTGGTTCATTTGGCGCTACAAAGACTACAGAAGAAGAAGGGAGTATGGACTTACCTACAACTGGGCATCAAGGTGTACCTGAAATAAGATATTGCACAGGCAGCAACAAAGTTCTCTTAAACTGTATTGAGATTTTGATTGATAAGAAGCTTGCAGTATTTGAAAAAAGAATAATGCAGAAAATAGAACAAAAACTTTTGGAGAAGGACAAAAAAGATACAATAAAACTAGAGAAAATAGAAGGGCTTTTATCAAAACTGTGTGATAAATTGTGAGATAATAATATGAACAGCAAATTCAAAATTAAGTTGTAATGACAGTCAATGACAGTCTAACTAGAAATATTTTTCAGTACTGTATATCTCCTGTTGAAGTCATGTTTTGTATTACAGTATATGTATACAGGTAGCAGCATCTTCCATTTGATACAAATATATATATAATACTACTTTAATAGCGCTTCTTTTTTTGATTATAATAATAATACTACTTTAAAAGAAAATAATTTTGCAGTATGGTATTATACAGTGTATATACAGTATGGGTAAACTTGTTTTCCTAAACTCTTTTGTTTTAATATTTACTGAAGTTTTTATTTAACCAATTTATTTTTAAACTGTCAGTTTCTTAAAAACTAAACAAAATCACTTGTACACTGTAATTATAATAAGGTGTGCAAATGTATTAAAGTTTTATACAGTACATATACAGCACTGTGTTAAATCAAGACTCCCCTTAAAATCTTTGAAAAATAATGGTATCAACAATATTTATTTTATGGGGATATTACTGGGGTTGTCCTAACATACAGTTTAATGCTTAACAGTAAATATAATAAGATGACTAGGGTAACAATGCTTATGAAATCTGTATTGCTCACTAGCAGCTATTTATACAGTAATAGCTTATTTATGAATATTAATGTACACAACACTTAAAACTTCTATGTTTATATTAAACAGGCTGTATATAGTGAACTAAAATATTTAGTGGTAATACAATAGTACAATGATTCAGATTAACTTAATTCTACCATGCCAAAAATGGCATGGCAGAATTTCGTTGACTGCATGGGACAATTCCTTATACTTTTGTTACTTGGCAGGTTTAGTCCTTCAGACTATATTATAATGAGTTACCCAAACCCCTGTAACTAATGCCCATGTTTGGGAAGTAATACAGCTTACACTAGGTATCCCTGACTGGTGAAACATCTTCATAATAAAGATACTTAGGTATTGCACGTGTCTTATTCATCATCTTGTCGGTATTGTATACCATTACCACTACCATGTTAGTAAATGAATAAGAGAATTTACTCTAGTTAAAGTATTATAACTTCCTTTTGTCAATTAATAATGTTATGAACATTTGCAATACAGTCTTAAAACATTGTATGTATACTGTGTGGTGTAATGGACAAATTCTCATTTGATGTGACTGAAAAAAAGGGAAATAGTGATTTGTAACTCATAAAATTTAATGCCCTATTTTTGGTGAAAATATACATATATGCTGTGATACCCTGGAAGGGGTACCTTGATGTTTGTGAAGAACTCTTGATTAAAGGAATTTGAGCTACCCTGCCCTTCCTCTTATCAAACATGAATACTTTTCACATTGCTGTGACCCTTGTGGGTTTAGCGCTTAGTTTTGATTATAATAATAATGATGAGTACCTTTCAATGCCCAATAGCACTAACATCCCATATCATAAAAATCTTTGAAAGGGTCCTAAGAAGCAAGATCACCACGCATCTAGAAACCCATCAGTTACACAACCCAGGGCAACATGGGTTTAGAACAGGTCGCTCCTGTCTGTCTCAACTATTGGACCACTACGACAAGGTCCTAAATGCACTAGAAGACAAAAAGAATGCAGATGTAATATATACAGACTTTGCAAAAGCCTTCGACAAGTGTGACCATGGCGTAATAGCGCACAAAATGCGTGCTAAAGGAATAACAGGAAAAGTCAGTCGATGGATCTATAATTTCCCCCACTAACAGAAACACAGAGAGTAGTCGTCAACAGAGTAAAGTCCGAGGCAGCTACGGTGAAAAGCTCTGTTCCACAAGGCACAGTACTCGCTCCCATCTTGTTCCTCATCCTTATATCCGACATAGACAAGGATGTCAGCCACAGCACCGTGTCTTCCCTTTTCAGATGACACCCGAATCTGCATGACAGTGTCTTCCATTGAGACACTGCAAAGCTCCAGGCAGACATCAACCAAATCTTTCAGTGGGCTGCAGAAAACATATGAAGTTCAACGATGAGAAATTTCAATTACTCAGATATGGTAAACATGAGGAAATTAAATCTTCATCAGAGTACAAAACAAATTTGGCCACAAAATTAGAGCGAAACACCAAGTCAAGACCTGGGAGTGATCATGTCGGAGGATCTCACCTTCAAGGACCATAACATTGTATCAATCGCATCTGCTAGAAAAATGACAGGATGGATAATGAGAACCTTCAAACTAGGGAGGCCAAGCCCATGATGACACTCTTCAGGTCACTTGTTCTATCTAGGCTGGAATATTGCTGCACACTAACAGCACCTTTCAAGGCAGGTGAAATTGCCGACCCAGGGAAAAAGTACAGAGAACTTTCACGGCGCGGGATAACGGAGATAAAACACCTCAATTATTGGGAGCGCTTGAGGTTCCTAAACCTGTATTCCCCGGAACGCAGGAGGGAGAGATACATGATTATATACACCTGGAAAATCCTAGAGGGACTAGTACCGAACTTGCACACGAAAATCACCCATACGAAAGCAAAAGGACTTGGCAGACGATGCACCATCCCCCCAATGAAAAGCAGGGGTGTCACTAGCACGTTAAGAGACCATACAATAAGTGTCAGGGGCCCGAGACTGTTCAACTGCCTCCCAGCACACATAAGGGGGATTACCAACAGACCCCTGGCAGTCTTCAAGCTGGCACTGGACAAGCACCTAAAGTCAGTTCCGGATCAGCCGGGCTGTGGCTCGTATGTTGGTTTGCGTGCAGCCAGCAGCAACAGCCTGGTTGATCAGGCTCTGATCCACCAGGAGGCCTGGTCTCAGACCGGGCAGCGGGGGCGTTGACCCCCGGAACTCTCTCCAGGTAAACTCCAGGTAAATATGTAGAATGGCTTCTATCGGTTTGGTACTTCCTCATGAATATAATACTAATGAATTAAATAACATTAAAACATAAAAACTAAAAATATAATGAACACTTGGGAACAATATTAAGGTTACATAAAAAGACATATAGAGTATTAATCTTGTTTGTCCATATTTCAAAATTCATAATTTGCATGCCATTATGCATATTCCATAGGCTGTATGCCATTAGACATACCATAATTCATAGTAAAAAAAAATTGTAATCTGGAATACATACTCCATAACATATATTCCAAAATTCAGTACAAAATATGTTTTAAGATTCATCATTATTTATTGAACTCAATTTTAGTGATGAATAAATATACAGCTTTAAAAAATTCGAGGAACGTTTCTTGAAGGCCTCTTGATTCAAGGAATTGGACTTTCCTCCCTTTCCTCGAATCAAACCTGATTACCTCCCATTTTCTCCAAGCACAGTATGACCCTTACAGATTTAGCACTTTCCATAAATAATAGTTATTATTATGCTGTAATTATGTTACTGTATCATGTAAGCAAAAGTGTATATGAGGCTCAATTAAATAAGTAAAATCTCATTGTTATACACTAAGAAATATACCTGCTGGAGTAGAAGAGAAAAAAAGTTTAATTAAATTATTTGTAAACTTTGTTTTCAGTGCTTTTGAGTGTTTGTGTAATAAAACTTAGCCATAAAATTCATGTAAACGTACTTCGTTTAAGTAAAAATAAACTATATGTATTTTATATGAATATTTGTCGTATACATTATTATTATTATAATCAAGGGGGAAGCGCTAAACCCGGTGGATTATACAGCACCTGTGGGGGGGATGTGGAAGGTATTCAGGTTTAACTCAGAACTGGAGCACAGATCCAATTTCCTAGATCAAGAGGCCCTCACCAGCATGAAGGAACCTTCCTTGAGATTTTTCGTATACAAAACTACATCAAAAGTCAGCTTGCAAAAGAATCGGAGGTTGTAAACAAATCTTGGTTACCTCATATTTTTAATTGTTAACTCCAAGTATTCTTCCTTGCAGCCTTTTTATCCACTTCTCCAAGGATATGGGTCCCACAATTTACACCAGATATATATATATATATATATATATATATATATATATATATATATAATATATATATATATATATATATATATATGTATATATATATATATATATATGTATATATATATATATATATATATATATATATATATAAATATATATATATATAATATATATATATATATATATAATATTATGTATATATATATATATATATTTTTTTTTTTTTTTTTTTTTAACAAGTGGGCCGTCTCCCCCCGAGGCAGGGGGGACCCAAAAAAGAAAGAAAATCCCCAAAAAGAAAATACTTTCATCATCATTCAACACTTTCACCACACTCACACATTATCACTGCTTTTGCAGAGGTGCTCAGAATGCAACAGTTTAGAAGCATATAAGTATAAAGATACACAACATATCCCTCCAAACTGCCAATATCCCAAACCCCTCCTTTAAAGTGCAGCATTGTACTTCCCATTTCCAGACTCAAGTCCGACTATATGAAAATAACCGTTTCCCCTGAATCCCTTCACTAATATTACCCTGCTCACACTCCAACAGATTGTCAGTCCCAAGTATCATTCGTCTCCATTCACTCCTATCTAACACGCTCATGCACGCTTGCTTAGAAGTCCAAGGCTCTTGCCCACAAAACCTCCTTTACCCCTCTTTCCAACCCTTTCGAGGACCGACCTACCCCTCCTTCCTTTCCCTATAGATTTATATGCTTTCCATGTCATTCTACTTTGATCCATTCTCTCTAAATGACCAAACCACCTCAACAACCCCTCTTCTGCCCTCTGACTAATGTTTTTATTAACTCCACACCTTCTCCTAATTTCTACACTCCGAATTTTCTGCATAATATTTACACCACAACATGCCCTTAGACAGAACATCTCCACTGCCTCCAACCATCTCCTCGCTGCTGCATTACCACCCAAGCTTCACATCCATATAAGAGTGTTGGTACTACTATACTTTCATACATTCCCTTCTTTGCCTCCATAGATAATGTTTTTTGACTCCACATATACCTCAATGCACCACTCACCTTTTTTCCCTCATCAATTCTATGATTAACCTCATCCTTCATAAATCCATCCGCCGACACGTCAACTCCCAAGTATCTGAAAACATTCACTTCTTCCATACTCCTCCTCCCCAATTTGATACCAATTTTTCTTTATCTAAATCATTTGATACCCTCATCACCTTACTCTTTTCTATGTTCACTTTCAACTTTCTACCTTTACACACATTCTCAATTCATCCACTAACCTTTGCAATTTTTCTTTAGACTCTCCCATAAGCACAGTATCATCAGCAAAAAGTAACTGTGTCAGTTCCCATTTTGAATTTCATTCCCCATAATTTAATCCCACCCCTCTCCCGAACACCCTAGCATTTACTTCTTTTACAACCCCATCTATAAATATATTAAACAACCATGGTGACATTACACATCCCTGTCTAAGACCTACTTTTACCGGAAGTAGTCTCCCTCTCTTCTACATACCCTAACCTGAGCCTCACTTCCTCATAAAAGCTCTTTACAGCATTTAGTAACTTACCACCTATTCCATATACTTGCAACATCTGCCACATTGCTCCTCTATCCACTCTATCATATGCCTTTTCTAAATCCATAAATGCAATAAAAACTTCCCTACCTTTATCTAAATACTGTTCACATATATGCTTCAATGTAAACACTTGATCTACACATCCCCTACCCACTCTGAAGCCTCCCTGCTCTTCCGCAATCCTACATTCTGTCTTACCTCTAATTCTTTCAGTTATAAGATAAGATAAGATAAGATAAGATTTTGTTCGGATTTTTAACCCCGGAGGGTTAGCCACCCAGGATAACCCAAGAAAGTCAGTGCGTCATCGAGGACTGTCTAACTTATTTCCATTGGGGTCCTTAATCTTGTCCCCCAGGATGCGACCCACACCAGTCGACTAACACCCAGGTACCTATTTGCTGCTAGTGAACAGGACAACAGGTGTAAGGAAACGTGTCGAATGTTTCCACCCGCCGGGAATCGAACCCGGGCCCTCCGTGTGTGAAGCGGGAGCTTTAGCCACCAGGCCACCGGGCCCACCGTATACTTTTCCTGGTATACTCAGTAAACTTATTCCTCTATAATTTTTACAATCTCTTTTGTCCCCTTTCCCTTTATATAAAGGGACTATACATGCTCTCTGCCAATCCCTAGGTACCTTCCCCTCTTTCATACATTTATTAAACAAAAGTACCAACCACTCCAACACTATATCCCCCTGCTTTTAAACATTTCTGTCATGATCGCATCAGTTCCAGCTGCTTTACCCCCTTTCATTCTACGTAATGCCTCACGTACCTCCACCACACTTACATTCTGCTCTTCTTCACCCCTAAAAGAGGGTATACCCCCCTGGCCAGTGTATGAAATTACCCCCTCCCTTTTTCCTAACATTTAAAAGTTCCTAAAAATATTCTCGCATCCCCCTAAACCCCCCCCCATTACTAACTCCCACCTGTTTTTAACGAAAAATCCATATTTTCCCCTGGGCTTTTTTTAAATTGTTTAACTCACTAAAAAAATTTTTTCTTATTTTCATTAAAATTTCTTGACAGTGCCTCCCCCTCTTTATCTGCTCCCTTTTGCCTCCCCCCACTTCTTCACCTTTTTTTACTCCCCATA